GCTCTGCCAAGATTGGTGGAGGTTTCTGGCTGCCCTCACTAGTCACCGGAAGCAGCAGCATCCACATCCATTTGAGGTGCAATGGATTCCTGCGCATTGCTTTGAGCAGCTCCCTGTTGAAGCTATCTCAGCACAGATGGCACAATCACGCCACACTTCGGTTCGACATATCGAAAGGAACCGCAAAGCAGACCTTGTTGCCAAGGAGTTTGCAGCTTCTCTTTCTCCAGTGCATGTTCAACTGCAGCACGAAGCTGATCGAGGCTGTTTGCAGCGCCAACGTTGGCTTGCTCGCCTTCATGCACTGCTTCCGACAGACGCTGGTTATAATGTTGATACAAACATCCCTCAGCAGACTGACCTTGATAGAGAAGCTTGTCAGCGGTTGTTTCCACAGTGGCCGTGGCACACTCGTGTCAGCCAGTTTCCTTGGAAACCGAAAATACCAACAGGTTGTGCACAGCCATCCAAATGGACTGGCAGTTTAAGTGATTGGAACAGTGCATGCGGGTTTCTCCGCTCACTGCGCTGGAAGCTCGATCCTGAAGCCATCACCTCAATCTCGGAGCTTACAGTTTTGTTTCAGCAGCAAGGGTGGAAATTCGAGAGTGATCCGCAGCTTGTCACTTACTTTGATATCCATGCCAGTCTTCGCAGAGCGATCAGCCTCCTCGCTAAATGTGAAGAGGCGCAAGCCTTTCCTGGCACTCTCAACGCGGCACTCGCCAAGGCGGCAGGGAAAACCTTGCCGCAGGGTCGATTCAAGGTGCTGCTGTTTTCATGGATGACGGTGCCCTTGTCCATTTGGCACGTCTTTTCTCTCGTGGAGCGAGCAGAACACTCGCCTCCTGGAGGATTCCTGTCCTTTAGTTTGCTTTCATTTGCATGTCTGAGCCTTGGCTCGTTCTCTTTGGGGTTTTGCTGTGTTTAGGTCTGAGGCCTGGCACATGACCGGCCACGTTTTTCCGCGTGGAGACCGGTTGCGCTTGGTGATATATAGACATACACATAATATGTTTTCTAACCTATGTATTTGCAAAAAAAGTATTCATTTAAAATGCTCCGCATAAACGCTGCCCCAGCCCTTGGCTCGAGTGATGTGTTTGATTCACTGGCTCAAGTAACCAAATGTGGCCAGCGGCGCAATAGCCACTGGAAGTGAAGCTGGACAGTGCCTAGGATCTGAAGCTTAATAACTAAGTAAGACATATGTGCGGACGAACGTCTATTCAAGCCAACAACTAAAGTCATAGTAAGCTTTGAGCCAACAGGTCTCTAAGCTCTGAGTCAATTCGCAGTCAACAGCCACTCTGTTACTGAGTCATTTATGCAGCAGCTGTTATAAAGCCAACAGCTTAGACCAGCATTCAAGCCAACAGGTCTAGACCCTGATTCAATCCTAAGCCCCGGTTCAGAGGAAAATTACTTTCAACGTAGAAGAAAAGGAAGTTCCCTTGCCTGCTGCCGACGTAGACGTGAGTCGGGAGCTCACGCCTGCTGAGAGGGAAGCGCTCAACAAAGAGCTTGAAGGATTCGCTTTGGAAGGGTCGCGCTGACCGCTCCGAATGGGACGAAGTGAACGCCGACTTGGAAGTCTATCGGCTCAGTGGCGAAACGGTCTTGGAAGACCCGCGCCGACAGGAGACGTATCGCCAAGCTGTGCTCGAAGGCCTGGGTTTTGGCGATGACGCCGCTGAACGGCGACCGGGCATGAGCTCGGATGATCTTGCCGCGTGTAAGAGGTCTTAGGCAGAAAGGCCGCTGGTTTCTGGTTGGAAGGGAGCCCCCGCACCACCGTGCGGAATGTGGCGCATGACTGTGTGCCGACGGGCCCGCCAGTTAGCCTCCAACCGCATTCCCTCAAAGGAGAGAGCGCGGCGTGGGTGGATGAGCGCCTTGAGGAAGAAGTGGCTCGAGGGCAGCTCGTTCGGGGTTCCTCAGCTTGGGGCAGCCCGCCGTTTCCCACCAAGGAGGCGCCGGCGCACAAGAAGCATAGGAAAAGGCGTCTTGTGGTTGACTACAGACGAGTCAACGCCAGGGTGCTTCGAAGCACCTATTACTGCCGGAAGGCTACAGACGTGTTGGCGCAATGCAGCGGATCGATCTGGTATTCCTTCGTGGATGCTGTCACAGGGTTCAACCAGATCCAGAACACGAGGAGGGCCATGGAAGTTTTGGCCATCGTGGCTCGGTCAGGAAAGTTCTTGCCAGTCTGTTTGACTTTTGGTCCTGTGAATGGGCCAGACGATTTCTGTTTTGTTGTTGACAGAGCCTTTGGCCCGGGCCGCGGCAGAAAGGCGCGGTTCGCCCGTGAATGGACCGCCTATGTGGACGATCTCACGGTCCGAACGGGCAGGGTGATCGACGGGCAGTTCCTGCAGATGCTGAGCACGATGACGAGATAAAGAAGGCCATGAAGACTGGCCCGGCTCTCGCTCCACAACCTGCCGCAGATGCGCTCGAGGCGCTCGGCGTCCAACCAAAAGGGGCTTGGATCGTCAGCTGAGAAAAAGGAGAATCGAAGCACAATGAGCGGGTGTCTGATCACAACCACCCGACGCGGTGCCTGGCGTTGGTTCACTCTGGGGCACGGTCCCTTAGGTTCCCTAGGTTGATCAGTCTTTGGGGTTGTCGATTGCAGTTCGTCGTTCTGGGTTCGTGTTTTCCGCAGTTCGCGTTTCGATCCGAGCGGGGCTTGGGCAGAGCTGAGGGGCGTACCGGGTGTGCCGGGTCACGTGAAGAGAGCGAGAGCACGCGAAGGGTCGCGTGGAGTAGCCTTGCGGAGCTCTGGGAGAAGGCTGACACGGCCCTCATGAATTTGCTTCGGGCGAGCTCAGGCGCCAACCAGACCCCAGCCAGCCAGAGCCTGCGGAGGCCGCTGGGGGAGCCACCGAAGAGGACTTGCACGCCGAAGCTGGGGTGCGAAGTAGCAAGCGCAAGCGGGGTGGCTTGAAGCGTAAGAAGTCGCACAAAAAGCTGCGCAGGGTCAGGAAGAAGACGCCTTCCGCGGCGAAGCGTGCATTTTGCCGCTTTCGCGCGGTCTGTCGCAAGCGGTCGCGCAAGAAGACCGGGCGCACGTGGGCCTTGTCTCACAAGGCCCGCAACAGGAGGCTGCACGCTCTCCACGGGAATGGGGCGCTGCAGCTCAACCACCTGTGCTTCCTTGCGCTCAGGTGCGGAGCGCGCTGAACATCGTGGGCATGGGGGTCCAGATCGTGGCGGTCTGGTTCGTTTCCACGATGATGATGAATCTGTGGCAGCGTTGCAGGAACGGCAACACTGCTGAATACGGAGCCCGGTTGACAGAGCTCACTGACGGAGGGTCAGTGTGGGCGGTCAAGTCCAAGCGAGGAGCTTTCCACCAAGTCAACCTAAAGAAGGGGCAAGCTCCGCTTGCCGACAGACAGTATGTGGAGGAAGGTGTGTGCCCTCGCATCAAGGCAGCTAAAGAGCAGCTGAAGCGGCTCGCGCTTCCGTCTGAGCCGGCGGAACCTCCAAAGGTAGAGAGGCCTTCGGTGGCCAGTGCGCGCGGGAAGGCAGCTTTAGGACAGCCGTGGACGCTTCAAGGGGCTTGTGGCTAAGGCCCGTGGGCTCCAAAGAGACGCGCGACCGTCTCGCGGCTGGTTCCGCCTCTTCGCGGACCAGCGCGGGGAAAGAGCCATCCTTACATCGCCAGGAGGGTCGAGGGGGTCGGCCGGAGCCGCTGCCCTTGGAGGACAGCAAAGCTTCCACTCCGGAGCTGCTTCCGGAGCCATCCCTTCAGACTCATGTTGAGCTACTCGTGAACGCAGCGAGCCAGGATCGGATCTTGAACATCTTGGCCGGCGCTGGAGAAGTGATGATGACTGCGTACACGTTCGATCAGCCCGACGTGGTGGACAGTCTCATCAGGCGCCCTGGAGTTACGAGACTCCTTGTTGATCGAGGCCAGAGCGTGGGTGAGCGGACAAAGCTTCAGAGGCAATCTCTGTTGCAGGTGGCCCGGGCAGGGATCCGAGTGCGTTTGACCGCAGGATCTTCGATTGCGGAAGCTTACGCCGGGGATCGCCGTGGCGCGTCCGTTGGCAAGAGCCTCAAGGGCATCCAGCATTCAAAGACTTTCTGTCGCAGGGGCGCAGAAGGAGCACCAAGCTTCCTGGTCGTGGGAAGCTCAAACTACACCACGAGTAGCAGGGCGAACGTGGAGCTCGGGTTGCTGGTCAGCGGGCCTTGGGAGGATGAAGTCTTCCGAGCGCACACCGACCAGTTCGAGCGGCTCTGGGCCGTCTCCGAGATCCTTGGAGGGGAGGACCGTCCGGAGAAGGAGACGAAGCCGTCGCGGAGGCGCGTGACGGGCAAACAGAGCCAGGGTGAATCGGCGGAAGGTTGATCCGCCGACCGCGGCGGTGCCTGCGCTTCGCGGCGCCGTGTGGCAAGGCGAAGGCAGACGAGGTAGAGAGATGCCTTCACTCGTTGCGCAAAAGCATCTGAGGGGCGACTGTGATGTCTGCTAGCCTTGCCATGGTTCATGTTTTTACTGTTTCACTTGCATGTGTAGCTGTAGGAGCTGCGTAGGTGTACATAGTTCACCTCGTTTTTGGCTCAAGCCAATACTCTTGGCTCAAGGCCAATACTTTTGGCTCAAGTGGCACGTAGCTAGGCGTAGCGTGCTGTCTCACCCGCCGACGCGTCCGCTCGTCCTTGTGAGCGTAAACAGCTGCGCGCGCGTTCGCTCGTTCGTACGTGCGCTCACATAGTAGTAACAGGTGCCACGCTAGTAGTAACAGGTGCCTTACTACTAGTAACAGGCGCCTTACTAGTAGTAACAAGGACGCTAGTAGTAACAGGGACCTTAAGAAAGTCCAGAGCTCAGAGCTTGTTGTTGTTCAATCAAACTTGATGCTGTGCCTTGGTGAACGTTGAATGAAGAAGACAAACAAAGCAGGCAGCGATGAAAGCCAGAACATGTTTTGTTCAACGCGTGTGCAAGTGCATGGTGGTTATTGTCGTTTTGCCGTGAGGCAATCAAGAAGGAGGAGGAACTATCCATTGCGCCTTCCAAAATTGATATTTTTAGCCAACAGGACGAGCCGCTGTTTATGCCACTAACTCGTTTGCTAGTTGTATTCGCTTCAATTTCTCAGCTTTTGTTCACTCGGCTCAGCGCTTTGCGTTGCAATGTCTTTGCTCACTTTTCACTTTTCACTCTTTTGTCAATCGCTGGTCAGGTGAATTTGTCCAATTGTTTTCTTTCCCAACACCTCACCCAACCCCTTGCACACCACCGTCTCAACTTGCCTTTGCAGCATTGTGGTTTGCCAGTTTGCTCATCGCGGATTTGCAGGATGGAAGTTGGATTAGAGAAGAAAAGATGTCGGCAAGCCTTCGCGACACGGATGAGCCCATCACTTGGTGTTTTGTTTTGAACAGCCTTTAACCATGCAGGGCTTCAAACTGATGTCAATGTTACAACCTTCTGATGTATTTTTGTTTTTTTGCCGCCTCTGAGTTGCGCTTGTTTCGAGAAACAGCTGTTTTGACCACACTTCAAGTTTGTGTTTTTCCCTCCAGTTTTAAGGACAGATTGCTATGGCTTCACATTGCCATCAGCGTGAGTGCTTTTCTCAGCAGCGTTACACCTAGCGTTCCACTTGTTTTGCCCTTCTGTGGCTGAGGTGAAACCAATTGAGAGCAAGGGTTCCCAATAGTTTCACCGAATTCCATCTTTGGAGTAAATGTAGAGTGGATGTCGCTGTGGCATGACCGTGCATCACTCACAAGATATGAGACTTGACACTGCGTTGACACTCTTGTCCAGCAGGTTGTGCACACGGCGGGTGAAGAAACAGTGAACCAAGAAGCTGTTTAAGATACGTTTCACTCGGGCAATGTATACGCCCAAGCACAGCCACGAATCCAACCATGCATCGTGAGAAAAGGTAAGTGTTTGATTTTGAACCGGCTTTCCTGAGAGAAACTTGAAAAGAAAACTGGAGGAATATATATATATATATTGAAAATTCGTGGAAAAGAAGTGGATAAAGTTTGGTGTGCCTTTGACAGGGTTAAGCAAGAAGGGGGGAAGTATGACAAATTTCGCGAATGAAATTAAATATTACTGTTTTAGGGTGTTCAGACGCCTGGGTGCCACTAGGGTTTCTTTTAAAACAAAGTCAGGTGTTTGGTGGAAGTCTGTGAAATTCATTTTACACACTGAGTCAAAAAGGTTCAGAAAGAACGGGAACCAAGCAAGATGAACAATGCTCATGAAATGAAGGCAGTGGAATCTTAGTGAAGTACTAAACTTAGGGTCGCAAACGCCATGGCGGAACACAAGGTGGGAATGTGGACCAGTTTCAGCTGATTAACATCAAACTACATTGTACATTCTACATGAAATCAGAATTCAGGTTCACGGTATCCAGGTGTATAAAGCAGAAACCAGGCTTCAAACTTTTGCAGGTCACACACACCTCTCTATAAACTCATATGGACCAGGTTCAGTTGATTGTAATGAGGCTAAATGCATATTCTCCATGTCTCCTGTCTCCATGAAATGAGAATGCAAAAACATAATGACACATAAGAGAAGGAACAGGAAAGAGAAGGCGCAAAGAAGAAAATGAGAAAAGACAACTTGACAACGCATTTACTAAATCAGTTGGCTGAGCTGAGCTGCCCAGGGAATCACAGAATCTGAGGTCTGAGTCTGAGGTTCTGTTGATGAATGTGGTCCATGCATTAAGTAGCAAGTGATAAGTAAGAATTAATTTATAAGAAACTAATAGAAGTGCAAGATCTTCGTTTAGAAGCGGGCCGCCCAGCAGACTATGGTGACACAGCAAGGCAGCGCTAGATTGGCGCTAGGTTTCTTCATATCAGGATAAGCAAGCAGGAAAAAGAAGAAACAAGCAGAGAGCAGAGAGAAGGAAAAAAGAAGATACAAGACCAGAAAAACGAAGAACAAACAAGAAGACAGAGAAGGAGAAGAAGAAGAAGAATAATGCACAACAAGAAGAAGATAAGCAAGCAGGAAAAATAAGCAGCTGACTGGCAGACTATGGTGATACAGTAAGGCAGCGCTAGATTGGCGCTAGGATTCTTCATAACAGGATAAGCAAGCAGGAAAAATAAGAAACAAACAAAGAGCAGGAAAAAAGGAAGACGCAAGACCAGAAGAAGGAAGAACGAACAAGAAGAAGGAGAAGAAGAAGAATGCACAACAAGAAGAAGACAAACAAGCAGGAAAAATAAGCATCTGAATCTGACAGGATAATAAAGAAACCGACGGAGATTTAGAAGTGGGCACCCATGGATTTGCGATGAGTGCACTCATACGTTTTTACACCTCCCCTCCCCTAACCCACCCCCCCCCCTTTTCCACTAAGGCTGGAATAAAGAAAGAGACTGGGAATAAGGGTCTATTCCAGGCCTGTTTCCCTAAGCCACTATTAATAAGGGAATAGAGGTGAAAATTTGTATTCCAAGTCTATTTCGGCTAAAAACAGCATTAAGTTGAAGCATATCAAATTTGGAAATAAGCCTGAAACAAGGAAATTGCAACCTTATTTCTGGAAAACGTGAAAATGCTTATTTCCTTAATTCCATTGCCCAGAAACAACAGAAATAGAAGAAATAAAGAACGCTTTGTTTGCTGAGAATCTCCAGTGCACCAGACCCATGAGGATGATAGAGAGCAATTCGCTACTACAGCAATGGCCTCCAACCCAAGAGCAAGAGGAAACTAACTAAGAGCGATGGCCTCCAACCTACTAGCGATGGCCTCCAACCTACTAGCGATGGCCTCCAACCTACTAGCAACGGCTCCAACCTGGTAGCCACAGTAACCTAATTGTGATGTCCTCCAACCTGAGAGCGATGCCAACCTACTAGCTGTGTGTGTTTCCTGTGAGTTGGCGATGGTGTGAGATTTGAGAGAAAGCTATGTCAGCAATCAACTTGCGCATTCAAAGGCCTTGCAGAGTGTAAATCTGGCGCTTCAGGTACACCTGTGATCAATTAGAGAAAACGGTGGGATTTTGGATTGAAGCAAGGACAAACCGTATCAAACATGGAGCTGTTAACTCCCTTCTTGTTTTAGGAAACCAAAGGCTTGGAGACTCAGAGGTGTCCATTTCAGCTGTGTCTCTGATGTGAAAAGCATCACATTGAACCCAGTGGCATGGCTCAAAGCGAGGGGGGATGGATGTCAGATGAAGATGAGGTTGTTTCCATCATCATGTTGGAAAACAACAGGCAGTATGAAAGTGGAGAACCAATTCTTTATTTTCCTATTTCCCTGTTTCCTTATATCCTTATTCCTGTACAGGGTGTGTTTCGATGTTGTTATATAATTGGTTCCACATCAGCACTGGCCATAATGAGGTGCCGCAATAACAAACATCCCTATTTCCTTATTTCGCTTTTTCCTTATTCCAGTACGGGTCTATGTTCATCAGCTCAGGCCAGAACTAAGCTCTTACTCCAGATTCATTGATTCCACTATTTCCGCGCGAATCTAGGATGGAGGGTCCTCATTCCGTTGCGTTGCCTATCCAAGATGAGGGGAAAGAGAGTTCTGCAAGACGTGTGTGCTCCTGCTTGGGGGACAGACAGTGACGGTGTTCAGCAGCAGGAAACTACAGAGTGAGTGGTGCTTGACTGACACCTTGTGCATTTTCAGAAGGAGCGCTTCCCGTGCGCAGGCTGCCAAATATTTTGACACAGACAAGCAGAACGAGAAACACATCAGAACATACCATGAATGCTTGTGGCCAGGAGAGGAATTTCAGTTGCTGCGCCCCAAGCATGGGAAGGGCGCGGAAAGCTCGAAACAAGAAAGCTGGCTTCAGACAAAAACAATTTGCACGTCGGGGCTGTTCGCCGCTATTGCCTACTGGCCGAACTACAAGTACATGCATGACGTGGATCGCTCATCTGCGTGCCAGGGCTTGAGTCAGTTGCTGGCTTGCCTATTGAACTGCAAAGGGCAGTGTGCTTTTCCTCATGTGAAGTGTGGCCAGCAGGGCCGGAACACTGACCGCGTGTCCATAGAGTTGGATGCCAGTGGCCGTGTGATGATCCAGAGTTTCTTTAGTAGAAATTTCTGGATGGAGAGTGCGCGGGCGCTTTGGAAGAAAGACTTCAAGAATTCAGAGAAGACATGGGTGAACGTCATGGCTTTGTTCGATGAACAGTGCTTGATTTCTCTTTCGGATGTGGTCGCCTTCACTCTGGATCCACAGCATCCCAGAGAGTTTCAAGATGTTGCTCTGCCAAGCGTTTTTAGGCTGCTGACTGAGATGGCCTATGAGATATCTGCGTTGAAGACATGAGTTCAACAACAACCAATTTTCGATCTGGTCAAAAGCGGAAGCGATTGACCCAAGCTGTTTCTCAAGCTGCAGTGGAAATGGTTGCAAACAAAATCTGGTTCTGGGGATGATGCTCGGATCAATTTATCATTGATGTTCTGTACATGTTCGTTGACACGGCGACTGGTGACTGCTCAAAGTCTTATTCCTGTATCTCCTTAGTTCCCTATTTTCTCATTTCTATTCATGTTTCTCAGTTTGCGTCTTTCCTACAAGCTTCCCTGGTAGGCCAACCCCAACGAGTGAGAAAAAGGTAGGAAACAAAAGACACGGGGAGTAAGTATGTCTGCGCTTATTAGCATTGGTACACCTGAGGAGAGGTTCATCAAATCAGCCACCACCAAAGTGGGCGCCAATGTGAACCCTTCAGGGATTGCAGCTTCAATCATGGTGCCTCGGTGTCATTTCCTGGGTGAGTGACGCGTTGAGAGGATTTCAAATCAGGCGTTCCATTGGGGGGTGTCCTATTTCTGGGCAATGGAATTAAGGAAATAAGCATTGTCGCATCTTCCAGAAATAATGTTGCAATTTTTTGTTTTCATGTGTTTTTTTAATGATATACTTCAATTCAATGCCCTTTTGGGGATTAGGGAAACAATCCTGGAATAGACCCTTATTCCCACTCTATGTCTTTATTCCAGCCTTAGTGGAAAGAAGGGTGTGGGTTAGGGGAAGGCAGCAAATCCGGAAAACCAAAGCACCTGGCGCCGGGTTCTGCGCTGAGTTCATCTACTGGTGCACTGCGCGGGCCTTTTTCAAAGGCGTGCGAGTTTACCATGCACTTTGGCCTGCATTGGCTGTGGACTCGCGCGTTTGGTGCCATCCTTGAAAAAGACCCCACGGCCTAAAAGATTTGTTTATCTCGCTATTCCTTAATTTCCTTCTTCAAAGTCCGAGTTCGAGAGAACAGGGGGGGCAGAAGCCATTGACCAAATTCCATGAATATTGACCTACAAGCGGCGGTGATCTCCCCCACACCGGCTGCAGGTATACACTGATGGCTCCTCTGTGGCCAAACGCCCGCTCGAGCTTACGTGGGTTTTCTCTCCAGAGAAAGGCCGCGGCGTTTTTGCACCGCCCATTGCAGGGAACCCTAGACGGTCAGTTGCGGGTGATCTTTTTGGATAGCCGCAGTCAGACTGGATTATGCACAGTAATACTCCAGAATTAAGGAATTAAGGACATAACGTGTGTTTGGATTCTATCTGTGCCTTGTGCGTTGATTTGAAATGGCCACTAACATAGCTAAATCCACGAGTGTTGTGGCTTCAACGTCCGTCTGTGGCATTCCAGCAGAAACGGTGAAACCGTGTGAGAGAAGGTCAATTGTCAACCAATTGAAGCCAAGTCCAAAAATCATCGTAAGCGTTGACTCAACACTGAACTTTTCAAAACACTGAACCCTTTTTTTATCACCTGACCTTGACCTAGCTTGAAGAAAGCTTGGCCATGGCTTCCACTGATGACTTCGATGACAATGTGAGCACAGTCAGCCTCACGGATTCTGAAGCGCCTGAATGGACCAAATCGTCGACGTCGTCAATCAGCACCAACCCGTTGGAAGAATTATGGTGGCAAGTTACCAGTATGAAGGGGAAGTGTTAGATAGGTTTTAGATAGGTGGAACTTGGCGGGAGGGTCAAAACAAAAATCTGGCTGTTCCCG